TACAGTATATATATATATATATATATATATATACAGTATATATATCCTATGTAAACAAGTAATTGTTAACTATGATGTTACTTTATTGCACCAACTTTGCATAGATGATAGCACAACAGACCATTTCACAAAAATAAATATATAAGCAAACAAACAAATAAATAAACCTTATGAGTAAGCATGACCCGTGACTCTACTAAAACAGTTCACACTTCAACCCCCCCAATGTTCAAACCAAAACTACGCCCTTGATCCCCGTCATTATTCACTTCAGTCTGCTTGACTTCTTTTTGTTTCAGGCATCCTGCACTCTGTTATTAGTTGCTGTGAAAGTATTACTATTCCAGACTTTTTTTTTGCATCAGACTGCATGATTTGTCATGCTAACCTCACACCGTCTGTCTGCAGGATCTCTGAACACGGGCCGCACCTCACCCCCTCCAGGCAGCGTACCAGAAGAACAACAGCAGATCGCTCGGCAGGGGTCCTACACCAGCATCCACAGTGAAGGAGAGTTCATCCCAGAAACGCTCGACTCCAATGTAAGCCTTGGTTTGGAGCTGTAGATTACAGCTGTGATTAAAGTTAAATCAAGACTTTTCACAATGTGCTTTAACACATACCACATCTTTTTAAATAGACACTTTTAACACTTTAAGCAATGATTCACACATATACACTGCTTTTAACCCTGGACTATGAGTGTTGGTAGCAATATTATTAGCTTAAATAGTTAGTTTACCCAAAAAAGAAAATTCTGTCATTGATTACTAACCCTCATGTCGTTCCAAACCCGTAAGCCAAGATATTTTTGATGAAATCCGAGAGCTTTCTGACCCTCCATAGAGAGCAATGCAACTGAAATGTTCTCAGACCCAGAAATGTAGTAAGGACATGTAAGTCCATGTGACATCAGTGGTCCAACCATAATTTTACAAAGCTACGAGAATACTTTTTGAAAGAAAACAAAAATATCGAATTTATTCAACAATTCTTCTCCAAGTGACCATCTTCCGCCATTATCGAGAGTACCATGATGCATCAGTTGACTGGATAGATTAGATACAGCAGATTTAGAGCTAATTAATATTACCTCAGTTTTACCAGTTCAATTTAAAGTAATTTGCCTTCAGCCAAGGATTGAGTTCCTTGATGCAAGCTGTTAATGTAGGGGGAGGAAACACTGAAGTGGAAGGTGTGCTTAAATAAATCTGAATGTCATCAGCATAACAGTGGAAGTTAAACCCATATCGTTTGATTAATTTCCAATTGATTACATATAAGTAGTGAAACGAAGAGGGCCCAAGACAGAACCTTGAGGTATGCCAGAACTGATGGATTTGGTGGATGATTTGTGTTTCTGGTATATAACAAATTTATTATAATAATTTAATTTAATAATTGTTAACAAAGTGTGAAAAGGCCAATGAAAATAAACAATAATGACTTTTTAAGGTCTCTCATGTTCTTTTGCCCTGTACTTTGACTTGTATAAAGTGTACAAGATGTCACTGTTCTGTGTAACTGTGCTCTTTATAACAGTCTGGGGAAAAGGAAGCTCGGACATATTATGAGCATTGGTTCATGGAAAGTCTTAACCAGTCTTCAGGTTAAGATGCACAGACCATAATGAAAAAATGTAATGCAATAAAATTGTAATTTATTTTTTGTCTATAGATTATGGAGCCATTTGGGAGTGCGAATGGGTCACTTTCTAGCAGCTGTCAGTCACTGGACCAAGCACTGGACAGGTGGGCCAAACACCTCTATATTATGAACTTATGTGTGTATTGGGATGAACCAAGACTACATTTTTTAAAAGACCAGCCTACTAATTGGAGTTTAAGAAAGCCTGGTATTTACATTTAGCAGATGCTTTTATCCAAAGTGACTTATAAATGAGGCACATCACAAGCAATTTTTCATACAAGAGCTAGCAATACTTGCAGTACTGCAGTGGCACGTTTCAAAAACAGTTAGAGGGTTAGAGGGAGCAGATTGAAACAGAAATGGGATGTTTTTAAAGAAGAATTTTTATTAACTTGAAACAACTTCAAAACAATGCACAAACTGTCAGAACCATGATGTCTGTCTTTGAACATACAGTTATAGTGATGGCAGGTTTTATACTTTTTTTATTTTGAATTTAGATTACATTTTTTATTTATTTTCAACTTATTTTGTTGAACTGTATGTTTATTTCATTTGTCTTTTCCTGTTTTCTCTTTTTTGAAGTTTTTTGAATAATAACTAAAACTATTAATAAAACTATCTGAATCATTCTTTGAAATAAAGCTGAAATAAAATAAAAGACGAATATTAAATGAAAAACCTAAATTAAAAAAAAATGTGATGTTGCCTTGGCAACTAATTGAAATATAATAAGCTGAAATACTAAAATGACTAAAACAAAAAAAAATAAAGCTACATAGAAATAAAAAATTAAAATTAAAACTGAAAACATGAAAAGAAAAGTATATGAAAAGAAACAGTATAATAGTATATAAATTATACTAAAATAATTTTACTGCAAAAATTAGTGTGTAAACTGATAACATTTAAACATTTAGTTTTACATTTCTAGTGTATTCTGGTGCCATTATTAAAATAATGTTATGACCTTTTGTAAAAAAAAAAAATTTTTTAGAAATGTTTTTAATACTAAACAAAAATTAATTATTGGGCTTTTTTAAATTTCAGTTTAGTTTATTGGAGTCATATTTTATTTGTTTTAGTGTTGGTTTTTCCAAATTTCATTTATTTTATTCTTTTTTTTTTTCTTCCAGTATTTAGCCACTAAAATGTCAAAAATAGTCTCACTGATTGACTAGCTGTTGGGCATTGTTTTAAAAACAGCAGAAATACAGTCACATTACTAAAATGTCGTTTAGTATCGTCACTACTTTTAGTTAGATGAAATCAAACTAAAAATGCCTTATTTATAGTTGTCAATGCATTTAAATGGAAGAATGTTTTTGGACGATGGAAGAATGTTTTTTTAATGTTTCAACAATTACTCACTTTACCTTTAAAGTGTATATTATAATAATTACGGGTAGGGATATCTGATAAACGTACCAGCTGCCCAGAGAGGAAATGGAATCAGGTCGTCACAGAGGCCAACCAGGAAGTCCTTGATGTAACTATGGCGGCAGCTTACTTATCAGGACGCCTGGATTCCAGTGCTATCGCTCGCCGCCTCTGCTCAGCTCAGAGAGAGAGAACGAATGAAACTGAAAGAGAGGAAGATGGAGAGAGAGTGGGTTGATCTCACCAATCTATTGTGCTCTCTGCTTCCTGTTTGCTATTGTTATAAAAAGAGTTGGTCAATAATGCAGTGTGAAACAAAAAACGGGAAAAAAAGAGTGAGAATGAAAGACAGGAAAGTGAGAGAGAGAGGGAAAGAGAAAGGAAAGCCATGCTACCTACACGAGCCTTATCTGGCTTTTAGCCCTCAGAACAATGGCAGGAAACAAGTGCATGGAAATTTTTCCCCTCATACGGGTGTGTGTGTGCCCATTATCCGGGGTCTCACTGATCCCCCCGCTCCGTACTGACGTCACCGTCTGACAGGGATAACGGGGTCGGGGCAATAACAATCACTTTATGTCTCTCTGCACATTAACTCATTCATTCATTCATTCATTCATACTATGTTGAAATAGGTATAACACGAAAATGACAGCGCGAACCTACAGGCATTATATAGCGGGTAAATTTGACCCGCGCTGGCGCTTATAGGTATAAATGCCCCGTTTTTTGATCTGATTTTATCTAAACCGTTTTTAACAACAGGGGATTGTAAATCACACAATTTTAGTAAAAGTCAGTGACTGGGAGACTTGAATGTTTTATTAAAAATCTTTTATGTACGTTTTTAAAAACAGCCACGGATAAAATTTACCCCGTGGCGGTTCTAGTGTTAAATGACTTTATAATTCTGCTGACATCATCAAGTCGTCTTATTAGACCCCATCCCTTTAAAAGGATCAAATCAAGTCTTGCTTGTCATTTCAGTCTTGTTGATTATCCCGTTTTAACACTGAAATGCATATTATTCAAATAAACAAGTTTGCGATTGGCTGATTTATGTTGACTTTAAGCACACATCTTGATTGGCAGAGGCAAGATCAGTATACTTTTTTTACATCATCCTCGAGTGCTAGAGCTTCTTTGTTTTGTGAATCAATGCCAACTACAGCTCACATTGATTTAAACAAAAAATTACCATTGCTGTCTAACTACCCACAGCTGAGCGAGTGATGGCAGATTGGATTTAGTCATTTGTTTGCCTGGAAAATATGATTAATCTGTTTCTGAATCTGTTTTCTGCGTAACTGAGGCATCACTGAGAACTTGAGAACACAAAAATATACTTTTTATGAAAAAAAATGTAATGCTATGCAAATGCAGTTGAGTTAAATACCAAATGAAATGCCATTTTAAAAAAATTTAGAATTTGGGAGAGCGAAAGTATAGATTCATTCTGAAGCTTTTATCATTTATCATATACTGCTGTTCAAAAGTTAAAGGGTTAGTTCACCCAAAAATAAAAATTAGGCTGCGTTTTACTCACCCCCGATGCATCCTAGGTTTATATAACTTTCTTTTTTCAGGCGAATCCAGTCGTCATATTAGTTATAAGTTATATAAAAATGGTCTTTGATCTTTCAAGCTCTATCGTTGTACTCAGCGGGTGTTGCATTGCTTCAGTCCAAAAGACGTGAAATAAAAAGCACCCTTCCACAAAAAAAGTGTCTCACACGGCTCCGGGGGGTGAACAAAGGCCTCCTGTAGCGAATCGATACGTTTTTGTAAGAAAAATATCCATATTCAAAACATAATGTTCACTTGAATCTAGCTTGCGCTCACTGTTGTAAAACGGAAGCAGTTCCGGGGGAATGATGCATGAGGTCAGCTTTGTGCATGCGCCGCTCAGAAGTGACGCACGCGGAGAGATCGAAACAAAACAACAGTCACTAATTAGAAGTACAAAATTACGATTTGTAAAGAAGAATGTCGGAGGATTTCGATATAAGCCAAGAGGAGACTTGTTTTCCTTTGCTAAAGTAAGGAATCTTTGCTTCTTTTGATCCTGTAAACAAACGTTGGTTTTCACGAGACTCACCGGCGCATGCGCAACGCTGACCTAATACTTCATGCTCCCGGAACTGCTTCTGTGTACAACTGCTGGCGCAAGCTAGATTAAAGTGATTATTACGTTTTGAATATGGATATTTTTCTTACAAAAACATATCGATTCGCTACAGGAGGCCTTTGTTCACCCCCTGGAGCCGTGTGAGACACTTTATTTAATGGAAAGGTGCTTTTTATTTCACATCTTTTGGACATAAGCAATGCAATACCCGCTGAGTACAACAATAGAGCTTGAAAGATCAAAGACCATTTTTAATATAACTTATAATTAACTGGATTCGTCTGAAAGAAGAAAGTCATATACACCTAGGATGCATCGGGGGTGAGTAAAACGCAACCTAATTTTTATTTTTGGGTGAACTAACCCTTTAAGGGTCAGTAATGTTTTTTAAAAGAAGTCTTGTTAAACTTGTAAAGGCTGCTCATTGCTCTTCTTTTAAAAAAGCCTATAACACTAGCTTTCTCTATTCTTTTTCTATTCTATCTATTTTTTTCTTTTTATTTATTATATCACTAACAAAAAAAGCCTTACTACATGTACTGCGTTAGGCTATGCATGTTATTACACACTTGCATATTATTGCTCTTTTGTTGATTTTGATTGCTTCCATTGTCCTCATTTGTCGCTTTGGAAAAAAGAGTCTGCTAAATGACTAAATGTAATGTAAATGTAAATTAAAAAAATAATAAAATAAAATAAAATCTTACTGAAACCAAGTTTAATGTGTATAATGTGTAGAGTATAATGTGTTTTTTTTTTTATTCACAACCAAAGCCATGGAGCATGACATTCATGACATCGTTATGTTCTTGGGTCTGAAATATTTTCACATACTAAAAATCTAGTGTAATCTCCACATAAAAGCAAAATTACTTATAAAGTGAAAAAATGGTGGCCTACATGTCCACATACTTTTTGGAGTTACTACATTTGACTGACACATAACGCTTTCGTTGTGCTATTCAAAAGTTTACAAAACCCCGATGAATGGTCAGACGTTGTATGTCGGGTCAGATATCAGGTAAAGAAAATATCAGGTCCCCATCATCAGGTGGCAGGCGGTCACATTGGCACGACGGGGACTGTGCAGTGCAGGAATGTAGGCTAGGCAGACGGTGCAGCCCAACCTCACCACTGCACACAGGGGAGTAACAAACAAAAATAACCTCCTTCTCTCCTTGTGTTTCCACAGCCCACCATTCTCCCAGAACAACCGGGACAACAATTACCTGAACCTCAACTATGAATACAAAGGTGAGGTTGACATGAGCAATGAATATGGATTTCTATCAGAGCTGTGGGCTTTTCATGGGGTATTCATGGGGCAAAGGTGCTTCCTTTGAGCTGTTGACTGTGGTCACTCTGTGTTGCTAATGGGGCGTCACGTCAAAACAAGACTCTACATTGGCAGTCCTGTTGAATGTGGCTGTGATTGTACCTCTGTTTCCAAACAAAGTGAGCTGCTTTGATGTTTACTGCCTAGATAGGCAGCTGTCTTCTAAGGGAGCATCCTAACAGAAATGGAGCCTCATTAGTGACTGATTTGGTGTCCTGTACAGGACCTTGTTTTTGAAGCGCATGGGAGATTTGAGTCAAAATTTGTATTTTAATTTGATTTATTTGTATTAATATTTTCTGTACAATTAAAGATATTTATAAAAGTATGCTATTATAAATACCTTTAATTGAACAGAAAATATTAGAATAATAGAATAATATTAGAATAATAATATAGAAAATAGTATATTAAAATGCTATAATAGCATTTTAATGAAATAGAATATATTTATATTTCTTAATTATAAAACATTTTACTTCATCCCATTTTTTGTAGATTTTTTTTTTGTCTTCTTTGCAAAGGATAAAAATTTTTCGGAATCAAAGTTTCGTTAAATATAAGGTTGTTTTTAAAGACTGTCTTAAAGTTCTATTTACTATATCTTATTATTTTAATATGAATTTATATCTCATTGGCAGTTTATTTTGAGCATAAATTGAGCAAAATGTAATTTAAAAAAATGTGTATATACAGTATATGCATGCACACTACTGGTCAAAAGTTTGGAATAATATATTTTTTAATGTTTCTAAAAAAATTATTTTCATTTATTTGATCAAAAATACAGTGAAAATAGTAATATTGTGAAATGTTATTACAATTTAAAATATTTGTTTTCATTACATTTATCTTGGTTTAATGATACTTAGATATTTATACTTCAAAATAAGACAAAAATATTGATTAAGAAAATTATTATTTTTTTCAGTCTAAAAAAAGTCTGTCTTCATAGGCAGTTCACAGAGTTACAGTGGGGAAAAAAAGTATTTAGTCAGCCACCAAT